CCGCGCCCGGTGCTGCACTGCTGTTGTTGTTGGAGGTGCCATGTTTGCTGCCAGACGACGCGGACGAGCCGAGGGCCAGCTTCCGAAACTGGTCGTTGTTCATCGCGGCGATGGACGTGCGTCGAAACTGCGATGCGACCGAGTGTTGTCAAAAGGCTGATGACGGAACGTTGGACGAAACCGAGGTCTGCTAATTTACAGTGGGTGTGAGCCTCGCTGTTAGAGGCCCTTTATGTTGCCGGGTGCTTAGTGGTAGCGGTCTTGTTCCTATAGTGGCTGGTACTGAAGAGCGCTATCGTTTCACGTGTTTTCGTGGCCTGTCGGCACCTGCCCGCTTTTGCCACTTTACGCGAGGCGCGTCATCTTCACCACTTTGACTTTTTACCTCCTCCGCACACAGTTGCACTCCCACCCGTCCACCCCATTGTTCATCGATTCGTCATCTGCGAACCATCCGGCTTGTCCGTCACAGCGGACGTATGTTGCGTGTAACGTCGACCGGCGATGGCTCGTGTCGCTGCTTGAGCTGGACGGCCGTCAGCCCAAACCCTACTTTTGCTGATCTTTGATCGCTTCTGATTTCATCGTTTCTGAACCTTCCATCGCAACGTCCGCATGGCGAACCGCCAGCTCGACAAGAACGCGGCGGCCGTGCGCAAGCAGATTGCGTCCCGCAAGTTCGAGGGCGAGGATGGCGAGGAGTACGGCGCCAGCCGCTTCGGCGAGTTTGGCGACTACTTCCGGCGCAAGAAGCTCAAGCTGCAAAACGAAGACACCATCATGCGCCAGGCCGTCCAGGGCAAGCCGCAGATCTTCAAGGACGTGACGGCCCACGTGGCCAGCTACACGCAGCCGCCGTCCGAGGAGCTGCGTCGCCTGCTGGTCCTCCACGGCGGCGTGTACGTCAAGTACCTCGACTACAAGACCATGGTGTCGCACATTGTTGCGTCGACGCTGCCGCCCAAAAAGGCCGACGAGTGGCGCCGCCTGCGCGTCGTGCGGCCCGCCTGGATTCTGGACTCCATTGCCGCCGGCCGCATGCTACCCTGGTCCGACTACCGGCTGATCAACGACGGCCCGGGCCAGACGCGGATCCAGCTGGACGGCCGCAAGATGGCCGTGCAGGCCGGGCGGCCGGACCAGATGGCTGGCTACCGCGAGCAGAGCAAGGACAGCTACTACGCCAGCCAGATGCAGCGGCTCGCTGCGTCTCACGAACGTGCAGGCACGACGACACGGAGCATTTTTGAGCAGCTGGAGACGACGATGGAGGGGGAAGACGGCGAAGACGGCGAGGATGGCGGGGATGGCGGGGATGGCGAGGGCCACGAGCACGACGTTCCCAACTTTGGCATCGACAGCGATCCGCTGTCGTCATTGGAAAAGGAAAAGGGAAAGGGCAAGGCGGACGGTGTGGCAGCCGGCAGCCCGTTTGATGCCCGCCATCTGCTTGAGGACGTGGACGTGAACGACACATATATGGAAGGCATTGAGCAAGAACCTACGGCCGAGTCCGACCCTGTGGCCGAGCCCGAGCCCGAGGCCGAGCCATATCAAGACCTGCCACCTGGGCAAGGCATGATGAAAATGGACGACGCAGACGACGCAAGCGACAAACACATGGCGGCCCTGCAAGCTAGCTCTCCGAGTAAGCCGCCCCGAGACGCACCTGGCAAACCCATGACGTCGGAGGAACACAACGCTCTGCTGCTGGCCGACCCCAAGCTCCGCAAGGCATCCTCCGCGAACCCCGACTTTCTCAAGCAGTTTTACGCGGAGAGCCGGCTGCACCACCTGTCCACCTGGAAAGCCGAGCTCAAGTCCAAGATGCAGCGCCTTGCGGCGGACAAGGACAAGGGCCGGCGGGCGACCGCACCCACGGCCGCCCCAAGGAGTAAGACGACGAGACGCTACGTCATGCACGTCGACTTTGACAGCTTTTTCTGTGCCGTGTCGCTCAAGAGCGCGCCCGCGTACGTCGACAAGCCGGCGGCCGTGGCGCACTCGGCCGGCCGTGCCGCCGAGATCGCCTCGTGCAACTACCCGGCGCGCACGTTTGGCGTCAAGAACGGCATGTGGATGCGCCGCGCGCTCGAGCTGTGCCCGGACCTCAAGGTGCTGCCGTACGATTTCCCGGCCTACGAAGAGGCCAGCGCGCTGTTTTACGAGGCCCTGCTCGCCCTGGGCGACGGCAGCGTCGTCCAGAGCGTGAGCGTCGACGAGGCCCTGGTGGACATTACGCGCCTGGTCGTCGCCGACGACCAGGGCAATGGCCACGGCGACACGACGGACTCGACTGACCCGGCCGTGCTAGCGCGCGAGCAAGACGCGGCCGACGCGCTGGCGGCCACGCTGCGGCGGCAGATCAAAGAATCGACGGGCTGCGACGTCTCCGTTGGCATTGGCGGCAACATTTTGCTGGCCAAGGTGGCGCTGCGGCGCGCGAAGCCCGCGGGCCAGTACCAGCTGCGGCCGGCGGCGGTGCTCGACGTCCTGGGCGACCTCGCCGTCGAGCAGCTGCCCGGCGTCGCGTACAGCATCGGCGGCAAGCTCGACGAGATGGGCGTCCGGCTGGTGCGCGACCTGCGCGCCCTCTCCAAGGACCGCCTCGTGACGGTGCTGGGGCCCAAGACGGGCGAGCGGCTCTACGCGTATGCCCGCGGCATCGACGCGGCGGCCGTCGGCGACCAGCCCGTGCGCAAGTCGGTGTCGGCCGAGGTCAACTGGGGCATTCGCTTCGTCCACCAAGACGAGGCCGAGGAGTTTGTGCTCAACCTGTGCCGGGAGCTCGAGCGCCGGCTGCTGAACGAGCAGGTCAAGGGCCGCGCCCTGACGATGAAGATTTTGCGGCGCGCGTCCGATGCGCCGCTGGACCCCGAAAAGCACCTGGGCCACGGCAAGTGCGACGTGTTCAACAAGAGCGTGGTCTTTGGCGTGGCCACACACGATGCCGAGCGGATCGCCAAAGAGGCCGTGTCCATCCTGCGGTCCTTTCACTTTTCGCCCGGCGACCTCCGGGGGCTGGGCGTGCAGCTGCAAAAGCTCGAGCCGATCGGTGGTGGCGGCGGTGGTGGCGGTGGACTCGACGCGGCGGCGCGCGACAGCAGTCAAAAGAAACTGTCGTTTGGGAACGCTGGTGTGGCGTCTGGAGCGCCGAGGCCAGCATCAAGCCGGCCTGCCGTACACCATCAGACAGCCGACAAGCCAAAACCGCTACGAAAGAGCATCTTTACGACACCCGTTGCGCCTCTTGTGAGTAGAGGACACAATACGATGGAGGATGGTCCGAGACAAGCGGACGGTGCGCTGCCATCCATGGCGCTTGCCAGCACACAGTTTTTTATGCCAGCCAACCCAGATCCCAGCGTGCTGGCCGAGCTGCCACCCGACATTATCCGACGCCTTGTTGGGGAGCGCCCGCAAGAGGTTGAGCACAGCGGTGCAGGCAACAACAGCAACAGCAACAGCAATAGCAATAGCAACAGCAACAGCCGGAACCTGTCTCCTGTGAAGCGAGAGTCGCGAGGACCGAGCCCGGCCCCGTCCGGCGTCGACGACCTGCCGCCCGACATTGACCCCGAGGTGTTTGAAGCGCTGCCGGCCGACATGCGCGCCGAAGTCCTGGCCGAGTATCGGCGGCATGCCCGGCAGCCGTCCCACTCGCCGGCGCCGTCACCGCGCCGCGGCAACAAGACCAAGGCGGTGCATGCGCCGGGACACGGCAGCGGCCATGCCGCCAAGAAAGGCTCGCCCGTCAAGCGAGGCATCTGGGGCACGCGTGGGCTGGCGGCGGCGGCGGCAGCGCGTGAACGCCGGCACGATGCGCAGGCCAACCGCGTGCAGACGAGCATCTTTGTGCCGCGGCCGCCACCCGAGGATGCGGATGCGGATGCGGATGCGGGTGCGGGCACCGACAGCAACGGCGACGATGGACTGGAGGCGTTTGATCCCGAGGTCCTGGCGGCTCTGCCAGACGACGTGCGCGAGGAGGTGCTCGAGGACTACCGGCGGCGGCAGCAGGCGCAGCAGGCGCAACAGCCGCAACCGCTGCACGCACCGCAAGCACTGCGGCTCGAGATACCGGCCCACCGCAGCCGTAGCGATGCTCCTCCTGCTGCTGCGCAGCAGCCCACCGGGGCGGCATCGACTGCGCTCGAAAAAAGACCCCTGCTTCTGCAGCAGCCACCGTCCAGGTTCAAGCGGCCCATGCTCCAGTTCCCAGCACCGCCGCCCAAGATGGGCTTCCGCGCTTCGTCGTCGGACCACGCGCAAGAGGCGCCCGTCGTGCTGTCGCTGGCCGACACCAAGGCGATGCTCAAGACATGGCACAGCGCCACGCGCGACGAGGGACCGCACGATACCGACGTCGAGGTGCTGGAGCGGTATCTCGCGGGCGTGGTTACGCAAGAGTGCGACATGGAAAAGGCGCGTAAGCTGGTCGTCTGGCTGGCGTGGTTGGTGGACGACGGCGAGGCGGTCGCGGACGACGACGACGACGCTGGCACGGTGGGACGACAGAGCTGGCAGTTTGCGCTGGGCCGTGTCAAAGAGGCCGTGCAGGCGGCGATGCAGGCGCGAGGCCTCGGGCCGCTGCAGTTCTAGATGTGGGATGCCACGTTCACGGAAAGAGACCAAGACACAATTGGAGGACATGCAATGGTCCGGTTTGACTAGTAACAACAATGATACCCTAAATGAATAAAAATAAAAAGAACAATCCATTACGCCCGAATGCAAGCCGTGGCCTAATAAAGCAGTACGCTCAATAAATAAAATAAGAAACGCCAAAACGTCGTTTGGAGATCATAAGACGACAGATGAGACAGTCTACCAGTCTGGCGGTTGAACAGTCTGTTGGACAGTCTGTTGCGACCATGCCGTTCTTTCAGTGTTCATGTAATGATGAAGCATCGGGTCGCGTGACAGCTATGCAGGAACGTCTCTGGCATGTGCACGTCGCAGCACTCGCAGCGCTCGCCGCACCTCGCCGCATCGCAGTCTTACAGAAGTTGCACGGCGGCCGCCAGTCCAGCAACGGCGGCCATCGCCGCCAGCGCAATCTGGGGCCGCGTGGCCGGCGATGTGAGCATGTACAGCTGTGGTTGGTCAGCACGAGCAGAGACAAAAACAGAGACAAAAACAAGACGCAGAGTATCATGGCCTACCGTCAACCGCAAATCGCCGCCGCAGAGCGTGCTGTCGTCGCCGTCGCACGGCAGATTGCACTGCGCCTCGGCCTCCTTGGTGGCCAGCGACGACAGCGCCTGGCCGCACCAGCACTCGCGCGAGAACTCGAGCCCGGCATACGCGTAGGCCGTGCCGCTGCCGCCGCCGCCGCAGTACTCGAGGCACTTGGCCACGGTCATGTCGCCGGGGAGGACTTCGTCGGTCGTGTCGCCCTGGAGCGAGCGCGCGCCGGGGGCGGTGCCGTTGGTGCCGGCAATCTCGAGGTAGCAGCCCTGGTAGGCATAGTTGCGGACGAGGCCCGTGGCGGCGGCCGCGCCGGTTGTGGGCGCCTTGGACGCGACGTAGACGGTGCGTGATGGTGTCGTGGTCGGTGTTGTGGCTGTTTTCGAGGACGTGGATGTGGTGGAAAGAGACGAGGCTGTGGCCAAGGCTGCGCCTGCAACGGCGCCTGCCCATTGGAGCAACAGGGCGGCCCCGGCGAGCATTGTTAGTCGCGCCTGCCGCATCTTGGTGCTGCTACGGCGCCCGTCGTGGTCGTCGGCGTCGGCGGAAGGCGCATTGGAGGGCGAGGGACTGGTGAGGAAGGCAAGACTAGCAAGAAAGGCAAGAGATGCAAAAAGAAGGGCAGGAGCGACCGAAGAAGCGACCGAGCCACCGAGGGGAGTTTTGCCAAGACATTGTCACCCCGAATTTAAAAATAATTGTAAAATTCATTCAATCACCCTTATTTTCTTGGCTCGTTTCTGGGTTTTGGGCGTCTCGGACTGCGCTTTTGCGTCCTGGCCTCTGTTTTGCTCCCTGCAGTAACGTTAAAACGACTCCACAGTGTATTACGCCAAGAGCCGTGTGTATGACAGGCCCAGTGATTGGCTGGCTGTTGGACGCTGACCCGCCCAATAAAGTTATTTTCCTCGAGGCGTCTGCGCGGATCGGGAGAGAAACAGAGGTGCGGCCGTATGAATACGCTGCGTGGAACCTGTGCATCGTCTACACAGAAAGCCACACTGGGCTCGGCATGTGCTGGTGACTTGCTTGGCCATCCTTCAGCCCAGATCACGATCGGATGCTATTGACATTGGATAACGTGATTTATTTCCATTGCTTTGCTTTTTGCGTGTCTTGAGTCGTGACGTCTATGTATATGCTTTGCCTTTCCAGTATCCCTTTATGCAAGATCCAAACGCCAGGAATTCTAAACCCAAACATGCCGCGGACTGGGGCAGACACAGTCGCCTGGACGCTCGTCCTACCGTCGGTGGCTCGTGCCCCAGCTGCCCACGAGCGCCATGGCCGCCGCGTCGCCCGCCGCCAGACGGCTGTCGCGCAGGGCGTCCGACACGCAGCGCCACGGATCGCGCCCGCCGCCGTGGCGCAGCAGGCTGTCGCGCAGGTGCTCGCCGTTGGCGCGCCGCAGGGCGCCGCCGTCCTGGCCGCCCTGGAACACAACGCGCCAGACCCGCTCGGCCAGCACGCGGTCAAAGAGGTAGCTGTAGTAGGTGCTGCCGTAGCCAAACAGGTGCCCGAAGAAGCCCTGCCAGCAGGTGCCGCTGGGGTCGACGGGCCCGCCGCCGGCCATGACGGCGCGCTGCAGGCCATGGAACATGTCCGTCGAGTGGTCGCCCACCGGCGTGGTGCCGTGGTACGCCTGGTCGAGCATGGCCAGCACGATCTGGTTCTCGTCGTCGAGGCCCTCAAAGCGCCGCGCGCGCCGCAGGCCCTCGGCCACCTGCTCGTAGTCGACCGGCACGTCCGTCTCGTAGTGCCGCGCAAACAACGCCAGCACCTCTGGGTCGGCCACGAACTGCTCCATCAGGGTCGACGGCAGCTCGGCCAGGTCGGTGGCGCAGCGCGTGCCCGCCACCGTCTGCAGGGACGTGCGTGCCAGGACCGAGTGCACGGCGTGGCCCATTTCGTGGAAGAGCGTCTCGACCTCGTGGTAGCTGAGCAGCGCGGGCTTGCTCTTGCTGCTCGCCTGGCCAAAGAGCGACGACAGGGTGCCGCCGCCGCCGTCGCTGCGCGCAAAGTCGCATACGAGCGCAATCGTCGGCAGCTGCTTGACGGCGCCCGTTGTGCGGTCGCGTGACGTGGCCATGCCATCGTTGGCGGCGTCCTGCGGGGTCAGGCCGTTGTCCACCGAAAGCGCGCCGTCGGCGGCCGCCGCCTCCGCAATCTCGTCGGGGGCAATCTCGCGCGAGCAGCGCACCGTAAAGTGGGCCGGGTTGGGCGACTTGTCGCCGCGGTAAAACAGGTCACAGTACAGCACGGCCACGTGGCCGTCGGTGTCGGACACAACGTCGAGGCGCCGCACGTCGGGGTGCCATGTCTCGCCGGGCGGTGTCTCGCGGGGCACGAAACGGAGGCCGTAGAGCCGCTGGAACAGCCGCGACAGGCCCTGCATGACGGTGCCGAGGGAGAAGTAGTGCGACAGCGGGCCACTGCGCTTCTTGGGCACCAGCCGCTGCCCTGTCGTCGGGTCCACCTGGCCGGTCGGCGCCCCTGCGGCCTGCCGCAGCACGCTCATGTAAAAGTCACGGTCCCAGGGGTTGAGGCGGAGCGTCGTCTCCGCCTCCGTGGCGTGCTGCGCGGCGGGCTGCGCGTAGCGCTTGGCCGCCACCAGGTCCTGCACCTCGCGCTCGACGAGGGGTGCGTTGCTGCGCGACAGCGCCAGCAAAAACTGGTGCACCGACTCGGGCGTCTTGGCCATCATGCGGTCGCGCAGGGCCATGTGCGCATAGCTGTCGAAGCCGGCGAGCTGGGCCAGCTCGCTGCGCAGGCCGAGCATCTGCTCCAGCAGGCGCACCGACGCCTGGGACGCCGTGCGCGACGCATAGTAAATTTTCTTGCGCGCGTCCTCGTCCTGGACCGTGCGCAGCGCCAGCGCGGCCTCGGCGCTGACGGCCGGCAGGCGCAGCGTGGCGCCGCGCGTGAACCGGCTGGCCACCGTGGGGTCCAGCCCGCGACAGGACGTGCTCGGCAGCGCCACCCACGGATCGGCGGGCGCCATCGAGTCCACAAAGCGCGTGCCGACCTCGCTGATCTGCTGCGACAGCTCGACGAAGCGGTCGCGGGACGCCTGAGGCAGGTTGACGGCCGATTTGGTAAAGTCGAGCTTGAGCATGTCGGCCACGGTGCGCTCCTCCTCGGACCAGCCAGACACCACGTCCGGGTTGGCCATGGCGATGCCCAGCTGGTCGTTGAGCACGGTCGTCGTGTTGAGCTGGTTCATGTACTGGTACGTGGTGGCCCAGGCCTCGTTGGCCGCCTGCTGCGTGTGCGCGTCGGGCGGCGTCGTGCGCACAAAGTCGCAGAGGTCAATGACGCGGCACAGCAGGTCGCTGAGACGGTCGAGGTCCCGCACAATGCCGCGGTACTCGTCGAGCGTCGAGGCGCGCGCCACCTTGTCGACGATGCGCTGTGCCTTGGTCAGGCTGGCGTGTGTAAAGTGCAGAAAGCCTGCAGGCTCGGTCAAGTACGCATTCCGGAAGAGGCCGGTTTTCTTGCCATGGGCAGCGCTGCTGGATGCTTTGAACGCCGCCCAGGCCGTTGGCGAGTCAAAGATCTCCCGGAGCGTGGTGTCGTCGTGCGTAATGCTGGCCGCGTGGTCGACGGGCGTTCGGAGCACGGACGAGGCAGCGGCAGCGGCAGCGGCAGCAGACGACGAGTCGTTGCCATTGTGGGCTGCCGCCTCACCAGCTGAAGTCGAGACGGTAGCTGAGGAGGCCGGCGTGCTCCAGAAGAGCGAGCGGCGTCGTGGCAGCTGCCCAACGCACTGGCGGCACACCCACGTCTGCGGCCGGGTGCGCGCAAACTTGATCATTGTGGTGGCGTATAAAGAGCGCTGAGCATGGCAGTAGAGAGGAAAGGAGAGAGGAGAAAGGACAAAGACGATTAAAGGGGGTGACGAGGAAGTCGTCCCGATGTCGTCGGTGCGGCAGGTGACACCGAGTTCCATCCGAATTCGCTGTTAGTGGGCATTGATATTTTCTCGCTGTAGTTTGCTTTTTGCCCTCGGTGGCTCTTGACCATGTTGCCTCCTGCCCTGTAATTCCGTCCTTTGGGCGGCTGCATCAGTGGTTATTCTTTCCCCTTACGGGCGCCAGTAACTAGTGGACCCGAATTAAATCAAATCAGATTTTAAATGCGAAAATGGACACGCAAAGCAGGCCACCCGGAAAATAGCCGCGTCTGCTTGGGGGAAGGTACGCTACTGCCGCGGACGGGAACGCCCAAAACTCGCCAGCTCGCCCCAAACAGCAGGCACGCCCCGAGCAGACGAAAAAACGCATCAAAGCAGCTTTTCGTTCCTTGTTTTCTCACTCATCACCAACTGCTCATCCACACCACCGCCCCATCGCCCGTCGGCATCACCACCTTTCCTCCCCATCCGACCGGCGTCCTTCTTTTCTTCGTCAATCGTTTCTGGGTTGGCCCAGTTTTGCAGCGGGTTTTGCTTCTTTTCGATTCCGTTTTGTATCGTTCTTTTTCCACACAAATGGCCGCCCGAGTTCTGTTCCATCGGGTTCGTCACGCTCCATCCCCTTGCCGCCAATTGGTCTTGCCGGGCGCGTCACTTTGTCGCAATGTATTGTGGCCGCAAAACTGACCTCGCCTGTGTGATTTTACAGACAGCCGCAGCGCCCGTCGCCGCAACACTGCTGCTGGGCGGCACGATGCTCTACCCTCGGGCAGCCTATGCCGAGGTTCCGGACAACTACGTACGTTGCGAGGAGGGAGACCAGCGGGATGCGGGATCGCACAGCCTTGGTAAATGCTAACACTGTACCAGCGCAAGCCCATCTACGACGACTACGACGCGCCGGCCACGTCGGCCACGCTGACGTCGACACCGACGCCTGCCTCGACCGACGACACCTCCTCGTCCTCTTCACCGTCTGACGCCTCCTCCATAATACCCTCGTTCTCGTCCGCTGCGTCGGAACCCCCCACGGCTGTCCGCCGCCCCCGCGGCCCGACGCCCACCGATCGCCTCGCCGGCCAGATCGGCCGCGCCCGTCTGTTCCTGTACCGCCAAGCGTGCAAGGCCGAGGACGGCGTCAACCGCACGGCCGACCAGCTGTTTGGCCTGGAGCGGTCGTTGACGGAGACGCTGGCGTCGCTGGCGCCGTCGCGCGAGAGCGGCGAGCGACTGCTGCCGGGCGCCGTGTACGTGCTCGTGGCGGGCATGGCTGGCAGCATTGTGACGCGGCGCAGCAACATTCTGCTGCGGGCGACGGTGCCCCTGGCGTTTGGCGTCGGCGCCGGGTGGGCGCTGCTGCCCGTGACGATGCGCAACTGCGCCGACCTGGCGTGGAAGTACGAGCAGCGCGTGCCGGCGGTCGCGGAGGCGCACCTGCGGACACGCGCGGCGCTGGAGCGGACGGCGAGCTTTGCCAAGGTGCACGCGGAGGTGACCAAGACGTACGCGGACGACAAGGTGCACGCGGTGCGGGAGACGGTCGAGGACTGGGTGAAGCAGGGGAAATAGGAGCGACGTCGTTGCGTGTGTGGGTGAAGGGTCACTTCCCGTTTTTATTGTCATATACGTGTATTACCTTTTGTATTTCCCCCCATTGTATTATAAAGAAGAAGGGGCGAATGCACCAAAACCAGGAGGATAGCATAGAAGGTCGTTTTACATTGTCAAATAATCATTATATTCCATCATATGCAGTTGTCGCAAGTCTAATCTAGTGTACAGAAAGTGTCGGGAGACAGCATGTAAAAGGAACAAAGGAAAGAATCCGGGTGGTGCACCTGGTCTCATAAGCTTGCTTCCACGGGCTGTTTCTTCTCCCCGTCGAGGCGGACCAAAAGGTGCAGCACCCGCTCGTACGTCCACATCGTAATCGCATTGGCTGGAGCGGCCTTCATCAGGCTGACCGTGAGGCCTCTGTACAAGCCGCGCAGACCCTCGGCCCGCAAAATGGTCTGCAGCGTCCGCACGACGTTGCCGTCGTACACGGGAATGTTCTTGTGCACGTAGCGGCTGCGCGTCGGGCCCTGCACTTGGATGCGTTTGCGCACGAGGTCGAGCGGGAAGACACACGTCTTGGCGGCCACGGCCGCCACCACGCCGGCAGCGGCGTCGCCGGCACCGATGTTCTGGCCCACATGGCCCGCCAAGCGGCCGGCGACGGGCTTGAGGCCCTCGTAGCACGCAAAGAAGGCGCCCATGTACGGCGCAATCTGGATCAGGGCCGGGCCCAGGCCACGGAAGAAGCCGCGGCCGCCCTCGTCGCGCGCAATGTCGCGCACGGCGCCGCGCAGGCTGGCATACACGCGGTCGGCCCCGCTCCCCTGGGCGGCAAAGCGGGTGCGCAGCAGATCGAGCGGGTACGTGGCGGCCGTAGCGGCCGCACCGGCCGCGGCGCCGGAGACAAACGAGTCGGTATGCGGCCAGGGCGCGGTGCCGGCGGCGGCATGCACACGGTCGAGAGCGACCGAGGTCGCGCGGTAGGCTGTAAACTGGACAGCGCCATAACACACGTAGAGCAGCTCGGCCGGGACGTTGCCCTTCCAGAGGCCCGCCAGGCCTTCGTGCCGTAAAATGTGACGCATGGTGCGCAGGGTGCCTTTGTACACAGGCCCGCCCTGGATGTCGCGGCGAGAAAAGAGAAGGGGGTCGGAGAGGGAGTGGGACTGCAGCTGGAGGCGGATCTTGACGACGTCGAGGGGGGCGACGATGAAGCGCGCAATCAGGCCGGCCGTGCCGCCCGCGACGACGACCTGCATCCTGGTGCCCTTGCATGTGTTAGTGAGAGTCTTGCAGCCTTCCGTATGCGAACCCTTATCTTTAATCGTCTCCCATCGTCTTCCATCGTCTGTCACCGTCGTCTGTCGCTTCTTACCTCATCTTGGAGGCGGTTTCCCTTGCTAGACATGCATGCGTGTGGCGGCTAGCCGGCAGCCTGCCTTAGAGGCTGGAAAAATGTCGCCTGCAGGTGAACCACCAGCCTGGTCGGTTAGGCTATGGGCGGGTCAGATAAAAGGGTGATGATGTCGTGCCGTGGTAGAGGAATTGATGTCGCCGTGAAAATAGACGTCAGCGTTGACGGCGAAGGCGCCGAAAGGGGAAGTCGCTTATGCTGGTTGTTGGGGATGACGATAACTAAAAAAAGGCAGGAACGGAAGGCGCGATAACAAAGAAAAAAATGCCCGTGTTTGGTTCGCCAAGCGGAATTATCGAATTGTTTTGCGAATAAAATTTACCTGTCGCGGCCTATCATAGCAAGCGGGTATGCCTCCCTAGCGTGTCAGTACGCCGCCGCAAGCCGCTGCTATTAAGCCGACAGCACGCTAACATGCTACGTCATATGCGCTGAAGTACAGCGTGCATCCCCTGGAGACAGATTCGAGGCATCGCCAAAGAAGACGATGTTCGCATCGCAAAAGATATACCCTTGGACCGAGGCCAGGGTTTCTTTCCATTTTCGTTTTGCTCATTGTCCGTCGTACGCAGACGTCACACAAGCACAATCATGCATTTATCGGAAACGCCGCAGTCCTCGCCACGCGTTCTGCAGGATGGAAAGATATGTTCCAGTCATAGACAGGCGGTCATTAATTGATGGTGTGGCTTTTGGGTCCGAGGACTCAATTGACATGGTGCTGTGTAGGACAGCCAAGCCAGTCGTTTTTGTTGTCCCGATATGAGAGAAGAAACAATGCCTGGAAATACAGAAGATGGGCTGGCGCGGGTCGTGAAAGACGATGGATCTGTGAGATTGTTGACATAACATTGCACATGCAAGTGACGTACGACATACAGCATATACAGTCAACTCTCGTAACGTACTATGGCACCGGGGTGAAGATCATCAAGTTGCCGTCAAAGGGGTGGCCATAGACGTCGACGTTGCGTCGGATATCGGATCGAGCCGAGGCCAATGGCCAAAGTCGACAATGTCGCACTGGAAAGAGCTGAGTGAGTGACTGAGGAGAGGAGCTGATCTCGCGGGTGCCGTTGCAGTGCCGTCCAGTTGAGTAAACGGGACGCTGTTCGTTTCCTTCTATATGGCACGTTGTTATTGTCCTGTTCTTCGGGCTGTGACTGTTCAGCCGTGTGGTCGTCTGTTGTTTCCAATAAAGATATAGGATATCCAATCCGTCCTATCGGCTGTGTTTCAGCCGGCAGTCGTCGACGCGCGATCGGGAGACGCATTGAAACGGAGAGAGAGTCACGAAAAGGCTGCAGCCGGGATTCACTCTCTTCCCTTGTCGTCTTTCGTCTTGCCACTGCCTCTTTCCTCTTTTCCTTCTCCTTGTGCCTTCCCCCACGGCCGACGTCCTCACAGCGGGACCCAATTTGGCAAGAGGACGAGCACACCAAAAGCCACCATCGTACCTTCCCTGGACGTGGGCCGGCCTCGCTTGCGAAACAACACGCGCTGGACCCCAGGCGTTGTTTCCTCGACGCTCATTGGTTCCATCTGCCCGAAGCGCATGTGGCCAGGGCGGACGGAGAGAGGGGCGGTACCGGTGGAGACCTTCAGGGCCTCTCCTCTGATGCTGTAGAACTGGTACGAACAAAGCGCATTTGGGGCCATTTCGTGCAGAGATTCCCCGTGGAGGCAGGAGCGACTAGTGGAAAAAATAGCACTTTCTCCATTCGACAAGAACGTTGCATCTGGCGTGGGCGGTGCCTGTCTGTCCCTCGTGCCTTCCTCTGCGTCCTCGTGCGTCCCGTTAAGACCCTCGTCGCTCCTCCCCTCACATGCGAATCGTGCACCTGGGCTCCTTCCTTTGGCTCTCACACACTCATTTTACTTGGTTCTGGGATACTCCTTCTCTTTTAAAACAGCGTTGCCCCCCCTCCTTCCCCCAAACTCACCCTCCTTATCACCAAAGATCGACGTCTTTCATTCTCGTCAACTTCACTTTTCCTTCAGCCTCCTCTCATTCTGGCTGAGGACCGTCCGCTGTGCCATACCGCAACCGACCCACCCCCTGGCAGAGTGCCCTTGCAGCACATTGCAGAACAAAATCAACGAGTCAGCAGGAAGCAACCAGCAACTGTCTGCATGTGACTGATAGTCAAAAAGGCAGCGATCGACCCAAGACAAGACCCGTGCGATCGACGACGCAAACTACCTGACGAAGCGTTTACACCTCGATTTACGTTTACAACAACATTTATCATAAAAACCTTACCAGAAACACCATTTGTCGACTGACAAAACTTCTTGTTCTTGTCCTCTCTTGTCCTCTCTTTCATCCCTCCTCTTCTCTCCCCTCTCCCCACCGCACGCACCATGGCAGAGGTCGTCCGCCCGCTCGACCCGCGGGACATTGTGGCGCCTCTGCTGCCGTCGCTGCCTGTCGCCGCCATCGCCTCCCAACCCGCCTCGGGCGTCCTCCCGCTGCTCTCGCCCATCCTCCGCCAGCGCGTCCAGTTTTTGTCCGCGTCAAGCTCCGAGCCCTGGATCCGCCTGCTGTCCTACGACCCGGCCAAGGCCGCCAAGCTCGCCGAGATTGCCCGCAGCGCCCGTCTCGAGCCGCACCCGGTCTCGGGCGAGATCGAAATCGACTGGGACTCGAGCACGGGCGACCACGTGGAGACACGGTACAAGCGGCTGGACGTGGAGACGCTGCAGGCGCTTGTGCTGCTGCGGGACCTGGACCTCGTGTTCCGGCTCGTGCACTGCGCGGGCGACGAGCAGGGTGCCGGCCCGGCGGGCGGAAGCAGCGGCTGGCGGGTGGGCGAGGTGAGTGTGCCGGACGTGCCCGATGCGTTTGCGTCCTTTGGCGGGCACGCCACGGTGGCCGAGGCCGAGGGTGCCTTTTCCGCAGGCGCGGGCGCAGCGACGGCGTTGGCTGCAGGCACCGCCAACCCAACAAACAACATACCAGCTCTTAGCAACGCGAACTCGACAACCGACGACGACGACGAAGACGACGACTACTGGGCACGATACGACGCCACGCCCGCCCGCACACCGGCCGTCAAGCGCTCGCCCGCGCCCCCTTCGATACGACAGGCCACCCACAACAAGGACAGCAGCAGCTACGCCGGCCATGATCCCAGCAGCCACCACCCCAACGCCGAGGCCGAGGACGCCTACTTTGCCCAGTACGACACCGTCCAGCCGGCCATGGACAGCCACGATCCAGACGAGGTGGTCGACGGCGAAGAGGGACAGTCGGGGCTGACGGGCGGCGTCACGGCCGGCTTGATTCGCAGCCACAACCTCGGCCAGCAGGCGGCCGCCGCGGCGGCCGCGGCGGCCGCGTCGTCCGGCGCTCTGGCACCAGCACCAGAACACGCCGTCGTTGACGACGCGTACGAGGTCGACCACGAGCGCCTCGCCAACCTCGTGCACCCGCGGCCGGCGTCCGCGTCGAGCCACGGTTCGTCGTCGCTGGGCGGTGCCGGTGGATCCGGCGGGTCGGCCGTGATCGTGTCCAAGCTCGAAGCGTCGGCCGGTCGCCAGGAGCAGAGCGAGTTTGGTGTCAAGCAGCACGTCTCGCGCAGCATCAAGAGCCTGTACATGCTGGCGCGCGCCTCGGGCATCGACCGCGACGAGTTTGAGCAGCTGGTCAAGACCGAGCTGGACATGCTGTCGATGCTCGAGGAGTAGGACGTGGCGTACTCGTGGTTGTTTTGTTTTCTGTATTTATGTTGTATATGCTGTCTCCTTCCTCTCTTGCATCTGCGGCGTTTCGCGAGCGTCTACTTCCTTGCCGTTTTCTGTTGGAGTACTGCATCGGAGCATCTGGGTTCGGCATTTTGTGTCTGCGCTTCTGTCCCGCTTTTGTCTTGCTCATATACTTGCCTTTTCGCGTTTTGTATTTTTTGTATCTGTCGTGACGACAAGTTCGATATAACTTCACATAGCCTTCGCTTTTGTATTTCTGCAGCCTTTTCACAAAACTATATTCTGTATTCCGGAATGCTCTGGTCTATGTTGATATATTTTGTCTTGTGACTCGTAGGACTTTGCCAAGGGTGGACGCAATTCCGAGGTCCACTGTAATGCCCTGTTAATGCCCTGTTAATGCCCTGTAATGCCCTATAATCGACTCGCTGTGGAATGCTGTGCTAAATGGCGGTCAAGACCGGCAGAATCGGGCATTTGGCGGCAGCAAACGATTTTTTACCCGCCAGCGGCTACAGCCCAGAAAAAGCTTCAAAGTAGCGGGCGCGTGCGACGATACCACGACACCACTCACGCGACACCGCATCCCGACGACGACCGGCGGCCACTGCACACCCCGTGACAGCGTCAATTGATCGACATCTACTCGCGTCCTGCACCATGTTCCGTCCGAGGTTACGGGCGCCGGCCGCGCTCGGCGGTAACATCACCATCAGCAGCAGCTCTGGAGCATCCATGTTGGCGCGGCGGCCGGCACAGAGCGCGCTGGCGCCAATAGCACAGGCCCGCCGCAGCATACACCACCTGCCCGTGTCGCGCCACGATGCCCGTGTTGGCGTGCCCAACCTGCTGTCCGCCGAGGGCTTCGACCTCGCCTGGACGCAGCACATGACCCTGATGCTCAACCGCCTGAACCAGCTGGCCGCAGGTATGGCCAATGTCCTGTCCTCTGCCCCTCGGTCCTACGAAGCGGACCACGCCGGCACATGCCGTTATCACCGCGATTTTCCATCCTAGTGCCGTCCCGCTAACCCCTACCCCTACCCCTACAGGCACCACATACGAGGACCGCGAGCTCAAGAGCATCATCATCCGGACGGCCGGCAACCAGAGCAGCGCGGCCATCTTCAACTACGCCAGCATGGCCCACAACACCGACTTCTTCTTCAAGCACATCATCCCCGCGTCCGCATCGCCGGCCGAGGCCGCGGCCGCACGCGAGATCCCCGCGACGCTGCGCCTGGCCATCGAGGACAACTTTGGCAGCGTCGAGACGCTGCGCCGCGAGTTTCTGGCCATTGCCCAGGGCATGTTCGGCCCCGGCTTCATCTGGCTCGTCAAGGCCAACGGCCTCAACCAGATGGGCCGCGGCGGCGACAGCCTGCGCCTGCTGAATACGTACCACGCCGGCTCGCCGTACCCGGGCGCGCACTACCGCCGGCAGATGACGGACATGAACACCGTGGGCGCCGAGGTCGCCGAGAACGAAGACGACCCGGCCGAGAACTGGCTCAAGCGGCAGGCGGTCGCCGCGGACCCGAGCCTGTGGAAGCAGCCCGACCGGCGCCCGCCGGGCGGCGTTGAGGCCATTCCGCTGCTCTGTGTGAGCACGTGGGAGCACGTGTGGCTGCGGGACTACGGGCTGGGCGCGGACGGCTACGGCGGCAAGGCGGCGTTTGTCGAGGCCTGGTGGAACGCGATTGACTGGGAGGCCGTGGCGAGCCTGGCCAACCTGAACCGGCCGAAGTTGAAGACATAGGACGGACGGCGCGAAGGACGACGAAGACGACGGGGACGGTGACAGCCAGAAGAGTGGAAAAGAACCAAAAACAGACGAAGCGGAGACACCATCTGGCGTTGTATATGGCCATACTATATTTTGTACGATAGACAAAAAGAGAACAAAACATCCCAGCGTCAGTTGCTTTAGGTGTGCTCAAGCCTAGGCTCAGTAGGTTGCGCTGCGACATAACGTCTCACAATATTCTCATAACGGATGAAGTCATGTGATTGCCTTAGGTTGCAGTCTGGGACGGCACTTTTTATAGGAACTGCTTTGTAAACTACGCATTTGGGTGACAGTCACTTGTGCATCTTTGCGAGCTTGGTTAAAGTATATATTACTCAAAATACCGTCCCATGACAAGGAGCGTGGTGTATATAGAGAGAGTTAAGGTCCGTCGTGAGAAGGAGTACATAATATGAGTGAAGGAAAGAGAACCAGACAAATGAGAAAACGGTCCAGAGCAGTCACAAAAATCCATAGGTATCCCAGTTTCATCCAAAGCTATGGTATGCAAAGTAGTCAAGAAGAGAAGGTGAACAAGAAAGAAAAAAAAAGGAACAAAGGGGAATGAAGAGAGAATGTAATAGGTGGAAGAAAGGTTAAAGAGACAGACCGTTGAGGTAGGCAGGTATATCGCGGTGCAGAAAAAGGGAAAATAAAAAGGCATGAAACCATGAAAACAACACAATAAAAACAAGCTGCAACTATGGTCATCCAATTTCATGCTGGAGCTGTAGCTGTTGCCACCACACTTGGGTCAGACTAGATCATATTGCCATTGACACTGACCTCAAAGCCCTCGCCCTTTTGGCGCATGGCCTTGGCCAGCATCAGCTCGCGCATCCACTCGATGCGGTCGTCGCGGCTCTTGACGGCAAAGTGGTGCGTCTTGCCGGTGCCGTTGACCGCATCGAGGGGCGCAGGCGCGGAGGACGATGTGGACGCGGTAGACGACAGAATGGACGCCGACGACGGCGTCAGACCGCCGTGGCTGCCGGACACCGGCATGGCGCTGTCGCGCTTCTTGAGGCGCACGCCGCCCTTGGCATCCTGGGGGATCAGCTGGAACGCAAAGGCGGCGACATCGTTCTTGGACGAGCCCGACGCCACGTTGTCGGCGCTGCCGCGGCGAATGTTCATGGCCTTGAAGGCGGCGTTGAGTTTGCTGGAGGACGCGGCCATGGTGGAGCAGGCGATGGCGTAGTCGTCAATGTCGACGTACTCGAGGGTGCTGTGGTGCATGCTGGCCTTGTCCTTGTGGATGGCCATGCGCGTGCCCTTGAGGGTGACGTAGCGGTCGTTCCACTCGTGGCGCAGCATCTTGGTCTTGCGCTTCTTGACCTCGCCCTGGTAGCTGATGCCGCCAGAGGCAGAAGCAGCACTGTGCATGCTGCCACCGGCTGACGTGATGGCCGTGGAGGCACCCGAGACAGCCGATGCAGCCGAGCCGAGCGTGCCCGTGCTGGCGGAGGCAAGAGACGACGACGACGAGTTGAGTGTCGACGTGATCAGAGACAGCGGGGCAATCGCCTTCTCAAAGGTAGCCCGGTCGGGCGACCACGGGTACTTGACGCGGGGCGGCGGCTGCAGGTGACGGGCGCCAGCGTTGTTGCCGGCGTTCTGTTCTTGACCCAGACCCTCCGGGCTCACGCTGCGGTAGGTCGGGCGGTGGCCCATGGCCGATGCGGCGCGGGGCATCCCGGCAGGCATGACACGCGGGGCGGCGGACACCTGGTTCTCGGCCAGCGAGGGCAGAACCGGGAACGAAGGACGGCGAGCCGAGGCGCGCGACATGGTGCGGGCCAGCGGCGCCCGGTAGTTCATGTCGGGCGGGACAGACTGCGAGGCATCGCGGGCGACAGGGCCGAGCGGGACGGCCGTGACGGGCACGTCGACCTCGGTGAAGGGCGTTCCGAAGCGGTACGGCGCAGTCGGCGTGCGGCTGTCCGGAGACTCCTCGATGGCGGTGTTTGTGTAGGACGTGGTGGACGTTGGTGCAGCGGACGCTGTCTCTGCCGACAGGGGGTAGGAGGTGATTGGGAGAGCAGCCACAGCGCCGGCGTCGGCCCCGGCCGAGAGGCGCCGCTGCTCTTCCAGGTGTTGCTTATCCTGCTGCTGTTGCTGGAACTGCAAAAAGGCCTGGTTGTCCGGGATGGTGTGCGTCTGGCGCAGCTGGGAGGGGATGGCCAGCTTGGGCAGCGTGCGCAGACCCTCGTGCGGCTGCTGGACGCGGCTGGGGAACAGCTCAAAGGGTGGCGTGGGGGGCACCTCGCTGGACGTGACGTGCTGGTGCTGGAAGTCGAGGAACTGGCGCACGTTGTCCTGGGGATCGCGCGACTGGACGGCGCGCAGGCTTTCCTCCTCGAGCGCAATCGGTGCCTGGACGAGAGTGCCGGGACCCATGACATCGGACGAGGCAACCACAGAAGGGATGGCGTCGGACATGGGGCGGAAGACGTCGTCGTTGGGGACGATGGCGCGGGCCGTCTCAGGGTTGCCGGGGTCGCCGGCGACCATGATGACACCGCCCTTTTCCACGTCGACAAAGGGGTGGTCCTTCTTGAAGGCCTCCATCATGCGCTGGTTGCGGCGCCACTTGCTGCAGTTCTCGCCCTTGGAGCACTGGTGCGGCTTCGGCATCATCTGCTCAATGCCGACGATGGAGACGGACTCCATCGGGGTGATGGAATCGTCGGCGGACATCGGGAGACCGGGCGAGGCGCGGGCCGGCTTCCTGCGGCGAGAGCTGGCGCAGCGGCGCATGGGTTTGTTGTTGCCGTTGCTGCCGCTGTTCAGACCGTCTTTGACGCTCACCTCGCGACGCAGTTCACGGCGCACCTCGCGGTCGGGCTCGTCCTCGATGGGGGTGTCGGGCCGCGGCTCGGCGGTCTTGACGTTCTTCATGGTGTTGATCTGGTTCCAGACGTTGGTGCGGACACCAAACGAGGGGATGCCGAGTTCCTTGAGGTCTTCGAACTTGAGCGTAATCAGGATGCTGCCGGTGATGTCATTCTCGATGAAGCGTTCGCAGACAGGAAGCTCAATGCCAGCATTCAGCATCCACTGCGCGACCATCTCGGGCGACCACGCGGCGAGGGTGGCGGTGTCAAGCTCCTCGTGGGAGAAGCGGAAGGGGCCGCTCTGGGCCTGGGCCTGCTGCTGGCGCGTTGGAGGCAGCGGGGTGATGCCGTGCGGA